TTACTAAATTATGATAAATATTAAAAAAATAAATAAAAAATTATGAATATTTAAATGTTTTTTTTTTTTAATAATTAATTTTTGCTTTATTTTTTTATATTTCTTCTGTTTTCGAAATTGATTTTAATGCTTTTATTTATAGACCAAGCCTTTCGTTTTTGTTTTTCCAAACCAGTTTTAAATTATTTTCTCTCAATCTAGTCTGCATTAGATTATTTATTAGTGTTATACTAATCTATATAACAGTATACATTTCTTATTTAAATCTAGACATTAAAAGTTAGGGCTTAATTTAGTCATAGTATGGTGCCACACCTTCAACTTATCGACTTATATAATATATGACTTTGACATATCATGGCTAAGAATTCTATTTCTTTTTTTTTGTTATTTAAAAAATTTCCTATAATATAAATTTGCTTCAGTTTTACACGTCGTTTTCATTAAACGCATAAATAATGTTCTACAGTGTAGTGATAAATTTCGATATTATTAGTATGTATATTGTGTAATAATTATATTATTTTTTTATAATAATGAAATTAATTGCTCTGCTTCCTTAATCAATCAATTATCTATCTTAAATTTTATAAACACATAGATAGTATTATATTAGCCTTATATACTTTTATTTTGTCAAATTTTTATACAAAATCAATTAAATTCAGAAATATGAAAGGAAATTCACTTTTTTTTTAATATAGGAAACAAATTAATAAAATTTCATACTTAATTTCATACGCATCATAAAATTTTTTTTAGTAATTAATCTTTATAACTCACAAAATTTATGTTATAATAATGACATGGGCATAAATTTATAAATAATAACATTATGTAAAATTATTTGAAATTTATTATTATAAATTTAATTTTCTTCAATTTCCGCATCGATTATATTTTGATACAATTAAATTGTTTGTTTTACAATACAAATATACCTTTAATTCGCATTATAAAGTAAAATATATTATGAAAATTATAATTAAAATAGTGTCTATATAAAAATTGAATGGAAAATCCCAGATATATTAATTAATTATATTGATAATTACATAATTACCTAATTACATTGATGTGATTAATATTCTTTTTGTTTTTACATTATCGTATTTTGTAACTTACGATATACATACGATTTATATGAAATTTAATTCATTTCAAAGGTTTATCACGTGCAATATTATAGGAGATAAAGTTTTCATTAAATAATTAATTATACATTTTAGAAATAAATTATATTAATTAATAAAATTGTGTAATGGTTGTCAAAAATTCAAAAAAAAAAAAAAATTGATTTAAAATTTGAAATAAATTCATTTCAAATTTTAGTTTGATTTGATAATGGAATAAATTTAATTCGTTAGGTTTTAACAATCTGAAATATTAATATCTGGGATGCATTATTATTAATGTAGTTGATCTTGGAAAATAATGGAATTCAAGTATTAAAACTTGGGAATTTGAAAAAGCCAAAACGTTTACAACTTATATTGCAGGTTATTATATAAGAAAAGTTTTATTCTACGTAATCTACGAAATTATTATTAATTTTAAAAGACTAAATACACAGCTGCAGAAACACATAAACAAAATTAATATATGAACAGGCCCAGGTTCTGACTTCTTCGGGTCCTTACATTCCTGAAAAAATAATAATACGTCTCCTCCAGCCCTGCCCCGCTTTAAAATCAATAAACAATTTCCAAAGTCATAATAATGTCAAAACCATAATAATTGCGCCCCTCATTTTCCTCCTCATAATAATTCCGGCGCTCATTGCATACGATAACTTTTCCTATTAGGTAGATTCGCAGGTGCACACACATACATTACTATTATGTCATTTCATAAATAATAAAATTTCCATTTCATTTTCACAATTTCAAAATTTTACAATTCAAAATGTGAAAAAAATTCTATTAAATTTCTCATTATTTCTCTTTCACCTTCCAAAAAATTCACAATATGCGCTCATCTTAAATCAAATTCAATACAAACATATATGTAAAACATACACATGTTAACAATAACCTTTAAAATATCAAAAAATTAATATTGTAAAATCAAAAAATTTTTTTCTTCGGTTTTCTTATTCTTCTTTTTCTTTTGTGAAAATAATTACAATGTTTATGCACAGAATTCAATTAAAATTAACCTAAAAAAATTAAAAAAAAAAAAATTATTTTCCCGCAATGCATTTAATTTGTCTTCTTTATTTTATTAGCGAGGGGGAGCTCGAATCGCACTACACAATTTATACAAAAAAAAAAAAATAAATTTTATTGTATTTTTATGAGGATCGAAAATTGAAATTCCATTTTATTTATGGAATACATTATGTATTGAAAAAAACATTAAGAAACAGAACAATCAAACAAAATCACAAAAAAAAAATGCTGGTTAAGCCCAAAATAAATCAATAAAAAAAACAATAACAAAAATTCAAAAATCAAAGAATTTTTCATTTTTAATTTTGTTTTTTTTTTAATTGACTTTAAATACACAAAAAATAAAATTTAGATTTTGAGCATGACTTTAACCCTACTGAGCAAATAAATTGTCTCTATGCATATAAATATGTCAGTTTATTAAAAACTGTGTATGTGTGCTCGTATATGCTTTACCGTAAATTTTATTATAACAACATTAATAGCGATACATATTGGTACACTGTTTCAAATGTAATTTTTAGTAAACGATAAGCGCATTTGTTTTCTAATTTTCCAGTAATCAAAGCATGTTAAAATAATAAGAAAACATTTAAAGCAAAAAAAAAAAAACAAAAATCACGGTAGAATAAAAACGCCACAAATTAAAACAGGGAACGTCTTCTCGTCGTTTATCAAAATATATCAATGAAAATTCGCTTAACAATTTTTTTTATTTATAAAATGTTTGCTTGTATGTATGTATGCACTACAATAATATAATATTACCTTATATGTACATACATTATACTTTATTGTCTTTTATATACTTGTATTATATTTTTAACATGATTTCACAGTTAAAATATTAAAATTGTAAAAAAAAAAAAAAAAAATTGATTTTTTGATGATGATTCGAAAAAAATATTGAAAACATCATTCAATAAAACATTATTGTTGTACATTGTAGAACGCAATCGATTGCAAATATAAGAAACCAAACGAACTATAATGTGAAGAACAGCAACAACAACTAAATAATCAGCTACAGTGCCTGTGCATTTATTTTTTTGTTAATTTTTATACCCTGCACCTTCATGAAGAATAAATATATTAATTTTTGGTAAGGGGTTTGTAACTACTTAAAGGAGTCGTCTGCGGTATGGACATGTACATATATATATTCTTGCTCAGTGTAAAATTCTGCTTTGATTTATACATGCCCGTCCGTACATACGATAGCACTATAACTCAAAAACAAATAATGCAATTGACACCAAACCTTTACACGTTGGTTCTTATCTGCCAGGGGCCAGAGTGCCCAGATTGGGCTACTTTTTCCAAAAAGTCCGTCCATGAATTTTAGTACAATTCAAAAATTGGGGTTTTTGGGGCTACAAGTTAATCCGTCAAACATAATTTTAAACATGAACGCAAGCATGTTTTATATTAAATAAAATGACTGAAATTGTAATATATGTAATTCAAACCAGCTGCCTTGTTATTTAGGCTCTCCTAAAATTTATTATTTCCGGTACAACCAACAATTCTTCTCTTGCTTAAACTTTGTGTTCTATTGGGAAAGTTAAAAGTAAAAATACACACCCTGAAGGCGTTTTTGGAACTAAATTTGGGGTTTTGACGAATAAAAAATTTAAATACAAATTGTATATAGACATTTTATAAATACACATATCTATTATTAGGACGGCTGCTATTGTAATTAGACCAAATCGGACAACGGATTTGGGTAGCTGCCATGTAACTCCCTTAGAGATTATTTTAAATATTTCAAAAACTAACAGAGATATTAATATGAAATTTTATAAGGGTGTGTCCAATTATATTCTTCTTGTATTCTGAAAATTTTAATGGAGTTGCTGCTCTGGTTCGAGTAGCTGCCGTCCAACTCCAAAAGCTAATTTTATATATTTGGAAAAACAATAAGGTAAAATTCATAAAACTTAGCAGTCGTATGTTTAATTAGACGTCTAATTAGATATCCGTAAGGTTTCTATAGTTTCACAGTTTTGAATAATTGTTATACAACAATGAAAGGTGCAGGGTATAATTTAAATCGGTTTATACTTACTGAAACGTTTTTATAATTTTTATAATTTTACCATGATTTATTTAGTGTTTTTTTTTTTTGACGTTATTATTGTTTTTTTTTTCGCTTTTCAAATATTTATTTCTTATATTAAATTTTGATTCAAGCGTGCGAAAACAATTTTTATATTTATTTTTTTTTTTGCTTTAGAATCCATGGTCATCTCTTGAAATTCTTACATTTTTCTTGGAAAAATTTTTGTGCGATGAAAACCAAAAAAGCAAAAAAAAAAATTACAATAAAATTTTATTTGAAAATCATTGGAAAATTTCTATTGTATAGTAAATAGCAAAATTTTTTAATAGAAAAATTATAGAAAATTAAATTAGTTAATCATTATGATTCAAGAATCTCATTATATGTATACAAAAAAAATATTGTATTTATCGTCATACTTTAAAAAACGATATTCCTGACGATGCCGTGATAATCAAAGAATTTTTTTTTTTGGGCAAGGCCTATTACTATTATATTAGCGGGTACGTACGTATATGATTTTGATGTATAAAGCAAGGTGAAGGAGTTCAATCTATATAATCTTATATACCACCTTCTTTAACATACTTATGTACTTGTATTTAAATTTTGTACTTGAAAAATGTATGAAAACAACATTCCAATAAATAAGTACTTACTTTGGTAAGTAAATAAATAAATACATAGTATAATATGGGTATTTAAAAAATATGTATAAAAGAAAATATTTGATTACATTTGCGTTTAAAACCAAAAAAAATATTAATTTAAATAAAATTAAAATTATTATATAAAGAGAAAAATAATAATAAACTCACACCCATAATTTATTAGAATTTGTTCACATACTTACATACATTAATGTCATTTTATTATTATTAAGGAATTCTTACCTGAAAAGAGAAGAAAAAAGGCATAAATTAAGAATTATGTAATTAAGCAATTTTTTATTTTTTTTTTTTATGTAATTTACTAATTAATTTCCAGTAATTCTCAAATACTGCCATGCAAAATGTTAATTTACATATTTGATGCCAAAATTCGGGCAGCATTAATTATGTCGCCTTAATTAATTATTTTTTAAATAAATGTAAAATATAAATGAAGCTAATGCGGATACAAATATATGAGATTTTTTGATGCAGTGTTCGACATTGAATTTAAATCTGCAGCCATATATAAAAATTTAAAAATGATATATACTAATTTCGAATACATATGACTTCATAAAATTTTTATACACCTATGATATTGCATGCTAACTATAACGACAACATTAGTGATTTTCAAATGTTGCTGTCATTTCAAAACTGAACTTGGTTTCAAAATTTCTCAGTCGGACATATATACTACCTCTTCACTAGTTATACTTTTCTCATTTTTGCATTCTGCATAAATTAATTTGCACATTTCACACATTTTAAACACAAATCGCATTCTATAGACTGGCGACAATATTAATATTTTTGTTATATAAACTGAAACTGTGTTCCAGGTAGACAAGCCATTCAAGAAAACACATACATACATTAGACATATAATATATGTTTTTATAGTAGTTTACGAAATTTTTGTCCATGAGTGTTTGGTGTACTTTTCTTTCTTGTTTTCTTTCGTGTTTTGTTGAAAATTTATATTTTACCTATCACTATTCGAAATTTACTCTCAGCTTACTGATCTATGTATTTCGTACCTGTGAATACTATTACAAGTTGTTTAACAGTATATTTTATTGTTCAACTAATTCCTGGTCGGGCGCCAGTTACAAATTTTTCTATTTAATAATATTTAAATGAACTCCATTCTACTGTAACGCTTCTATTCACTTAGTTAACTGTAACTACAACTGATAACACGAGTACTGTAAAAATATTTTACCGTAATATACATAAAATTTTATCTATTTGAAAATTTTTAATTTTATTATAATTTCTTATTAAAATTTTCATTTTAATTTCAAAATTTTTGACAATTATGCTTTACATACAAAGTTATAACTGTACAATATATATATATATATATATATATATATGTATATGTAATTGTTATTTTTCAAAAACCTTTTTACCAGCTGAGAACTACCAATTTCAATAAACAATAGGTCAAGGAATGACACAACAAAAATGTTTTAAATTTTTAAAAACAAAATTGGATTTTTCTTTTTTTTTTTTTAATAATTTTTTACTTTTTATTCAATTAAATCTGATAGAAATGAGAAATTTAGTATTAAATACAATATAATATCTTTGAATAAACAAACATATACATACACTTAGATATAATTTGAATTGTAATTAAAATTTGCTTTGAAACACTTAAAGAGTCAAACATGAAAGCAAAACATCAGTCAATATTTTTTTTTTCTTATTACTGCTCGTGAATTTAACTCTATAGTACCTATATGTAATTTGTTACAGCAACTGGCTCCTATAGTAGTTAAAAATTAAAAACTAAAAATGTTGATCTATGCTATTGGATATATCTTATATCCAATTTTCCATGAGAGATAAAAGTCTGATAAGACCGAGACAATAATATAAGCAAAAATATAATAAAGGAAAAAACTTGCATTGTTTTTGTTTTTGCATTTCTTTTTCATAACCCTAGTATACAGAAAGAGTTAATCATTCGAAACAATAAAATTTCCAAAGTCACCATCACTCCATAAGCATAAGCACCATGATGGCCCAATATTTTGCAGACTAATTTATGTACATTTTTAATTTTATTTTTTCTTTATTTTTGTTCATTACCTTAAATCTTATCTTATACGATTGATCTTATAATAAGCTGGAATATTTAATTTCGATTAAAGGTATTTTGTTTTTTATTTTGTTTGTTTTTTTTTTTGTAATTTCATTTAAATCTAAATTAACTACTTGAATTTAAAAATGAAATAAAAACATTTCTTATACATACATACATATATAGTTTTTAGCTGGACATTTTACGTGCATCAAATGTCAAATATTTTAAATCAAGATTGACATAATAATCAAGATTAAAAATGAAAAGAATAAGAAAATTTTAAAAATAAAAAATTGTATAAAAGTGTTTTTACTTAAAAATTATTCTCAAATTAAAAATAACAAAGACGTATGGATGCATGTAACTGGCACACACATACACACAGTGTTTTTGCTTAGTACATTTGGATCAAATCAATGGTTTGTAATGAAGCAATTTTCCCTTCAATAAATGATAAACTGTTTTCAAAAACATTATTTATATTACCTTCATTTATATACAAAAATATATTATTTTATTGCATACTTTTAGGATGAGCAAAAGAAAAACATTGACAGAAACATAATAATTGCATTGGACGGTTAAGTTAGTGAATCAACAAAAATAAATATGGTATTTACTGTCATTTTTTTGTGTTTTTATAGAAATTCGGAAAAACTTGCAATTTCAGAATTAAAACGCAGAATTTGCGTATTTCATGCGACGATAACTTGAAATAGGTGGAAGTGGAAAAAATAACGAAATAAACAGTTTACTAGTGCCTAAACGCTGCTAAAATTTCGGACTCCTACAAATTACCGTCTAGAAAAAAATTGAAAGCAAAAATTTAAAAAGGTTTGGGTAAGGGTTAATTTTAACATCCATCTTATATTTTACAAAAAACATGTCGCCACCCTTCGTTTGTGCAATTTCCAAAGTTATTTTGGTTTCGTTGCAATAAATAGTTAAAAAATTGAATTTTTTAGACTTTGAGGATCTAAAGGGAGGACTTTTAAAAGAACGGGAGATATATGTAAAAATTTTCATTCACAGATATAAGTTTCTACTATCTGGTTCGTAAACAAAAACACAGACAGATCGACGGACTGTCAAAATGAAAGTTACAATTAGTTTTTTCAATTTTTATTTTTTTTTGGAAAAGTGCTAAAAATGAAGAAATTTTTAATATTTTTTTTTCAACATTTTGACATTTTTCACTATATGGATCAGTCATCAGAGAGATTTCTTTTTATTGTTTTCTTTTTATTGAATTTTTATTTAAATTGAAATTATTTGCCATTATGGAACAAATTAAATTTGCAATTTCTATAAAGATTTTAAATCTGAAATGGTTAATTTAAATTAAAAATTTTGAAAAAATTCTTTAATTTGACATTTCAAAACTGATTTGTACATGAATTTTATAAGTATTTGTTTAATTTATAAAGAAATTCATTATATCACTTTCTATTATGTCACATTTCATTCATGTTGCCGTTTAATTGAATATGTTGTACATGTTATGTATTTCACATATTTATTGTAGGTTATTCATAAATTTTTTCACTGTCATTCAAAAAATTAATTTAATGTCTGCGAACTTATAACATTCAAATTTAATTTTTAGCAAATATTTAAAGCTTTTACTGTTATGGTAGTAAGATTTTAGTTATACTCGTAGTATGGCAAAAATAAGTATGATTTAAATAGAGGCTTACATTTTCTATATTAATATATTTGAAATAGATGAAATAGAAGAAATGTTAATAATCAAAAATTTTCTTTGATTTCTTTTAGTGTGATATTTAAAATTCTTATTTTGTAAAATAATATTGTATGGCTCGTAATTGTGTGTGATTTTAAATAATATTTTAAATTATTGCGGTCACCATCCTGTGTTATATGCCAATGTTCTAAAATTTTTAAAAAATTTTTAAGACTTCATTATTTAGTTTAATAGTGAGCCAATGTGAAATCTGTTCAAAAATATTTTTGATTGAAAAACAAACTAAATTTTGAATTAGCTTTACATTTTTTACAACAATATAAAAATTTTCAAATATTTTTCTAAAAATTCCAAATATTTAAGTATCAAATATCGAAAAAGTGTACTTTCCAAAAAAAAAGCCTTAACTAACCAATCAATTATAAACAAAAGACTTAAGCGAAAAACTTTTCAAAATAAAATTTAGAAAATTAATGGCATTTTTATTTATGAATAATTTGCCCTTATTTATGCAAATTAAAACAAAAATCACAACTTTAGTAAAACAAAAAATTAGTTTTTCTATTAAGACATTAAATAAATATTAATATTAGTTCTCCACTCTTGTTATAAGCGTTTCAACCAGAAATTTTTTAATTAAAATTTACAATGTTGTAGTAGAGTGACACAAAAAAATTTTATAACATTTTTTATTTACAAAAAATTTATGAAAAATTAGTACTTGTATGGTTGCACATACCTGTGTTTCTTTTCTGTTGAAAAATTATCACTAGTCTAATAATTATAATTAATTAAATACAAACATTTCAATTCAAGTTCATAAAATCAAGATATGCAGGTTGATTGAATTAAAAAAAACTCTTCTTTTTTTTAGTCTATCACATTAAGCAACATATTAATGACAAAATTTTAAAAATATTAAAGCTTTTTCACTATTCCAGGTTATTTAAATGCAAACCCCAGTAATTATGCCTGTTCTAAAGAAAGAAAATCCGATTTCTTGCTTAATTTTCCATATATGAAGTACAATTTCCCTGAATAATTTCGACGTTGAATAATATAGCCTGTACAACACAATAAAATATTTCGGCACTGCCTCCCTCATTACAGGACGTTAAGCTAAATTCGCATTGAATATACATTAATTTTTTTTTTCCTTAATCTCAAATATCTGCGTGACAATTTATTAATTTCAGTTTTAAATTACTTGATTAAGTTTTAATCAAAATGAATATTTTTTTTTTTCTTCAATTTTTGATTACCTTCATAAAAAAATGTAATCAATCTCATATATATTGGGTGAAAGTTTATAATGAACTCGACTGTAAATATTTTCAATTTCTATATTATAAACCAAATCTTTAAAAAATATATAGAAATCTAATTAGATTTGACAATTTCTATTACTTAGCCACACTTTATAATAGTAAAAAAAAAACC